CAGCCACTCCTCGGAAGGAAGACTGGGTACTCTACTTCCATAGTGATACTGCCTCGAAAAGTCAAGAAGTGGTCATTATGAGTTGGATCCGACTTGATGGCAGTGAGTTTTTTGTGTGTGTTTGTGTGTGTGTGTGTGTGGCCATGAATCAACACATGGAGAGAAAAGAGAGCTGAACTGGGGCTACAAAAATCTCTGATCTAATCCCTAAGCTACTAAACTAAACCAAACTAAATCAGTTGCCATCAAGGCAATTCTGACTCATGGCTACCCAATGGTTGTCAAAGTCAAACTTTGCTCCACAGAGTTTTCAATGACTAACTTTTGGGAAGTAGATCACGAGGGCTTTCTTCTGATATGGTTCTGGGTAGAGCAGAAACTCCAACTTTTAGGTTAGCAGCTTAGTGCATTAACCATTTGTGCTATCCAGGGACTCCTAAGAAGGAAAGCCAGTACTCCATTGGAACTTAATAAGTTTTTCAATGAATGAATGAATGCACATATAATAATAAATTTTTAAAGAAATCAACAAGATGATCTGATGAAAAGTAATTTTATTTTCTTTTGAAATTTCAATTGCTTTTATATCACTTTGTAAACAGAATAGGGCACACTCACTCCTCTGTAGGGTTCTAAATGAGGAAGTGTCTAAAGCTGTTTGCTATTAAGCAGTGATCAGTCAGAGGAGGAAAGTTTTTGGCAAAGTAAATTCTCCTCTTCAAAGACTAACAGCTCTCAACAAAGAAGAAAATGATGCTCTTTAGAGCAGAGTCATGAATAGTGCTGAGGTCCTTTTTAGATCATTCCAAGCAGAATCCTGACCCTCATTCTCCAGGCCACCTGCCCTACAGCAGGGGAGAGGACAAAGGCAACCCTTCTTTCTGCACTGGTAGGGGAAAGGGCAGTCTCTTAAACATTTTGGTGGATGATTGACTCTACAGTCTTATCCCTGACGCTCTTTAGGAAGCTCAGAACAGCAGTTCCACCTGTGCCTCTCTCTTCTAAAGCCTTAGGTGGCCCTGGGAGATGGGTTTGCCTCCTAACCTTTGCTTTGGCTGCAGCTGTGATGAGGTATTTGGTCACCATAGTGATGTGATAGCTGCGCAGCTCTGCCAAGGCCTCCATACACTGGTTATAGGCTGCAAGAAGTTGGCCGTTTCCTGAGGACAGGATGTATTTTCTCAGTGAAGGAGCAGAGCGCATTTCTTCTATGAAGGCCTTATGGGAAGGAGGCATGTAGTCCCTCATTCTATGCAGAAAGTCAGCTGAAAGAAGCAATTCAGAACAACATCATAGCTCCAAATGAAAATGTAGGAAAGCCCTGCCTGCATTTTCAGACCCCAATGCAGCAGAAACTGTCACTGCTGCCCAACTGGCCACTCTATCTTGCTGGCTTTTTCACTTGTAGAGTTCAAACACTCAAATGTATATTCTAAATTGTTGACAGGAGTTAGGAAAAACAAAAGGAAGCCAGTAGATCTTGAATAACTGCATTGAAACCAGATCTTTCAACCAATTTATACATATTTATCACACACCAAATGTGAACAACCATCTTGTTAGTTGCTATAAAGAATATCCACAAAATTAAGGCATAATTAACAAGATGATTTGTTCAAAGACAATTTTATTTCCTTTTAAAATTTTGATTGATATTATATTACTTTGTAAACAGAATAGGGTACACTCACTTCTTTGTGGGGTTCTGAAGCAGAACCATTTAAACTGGTTAGCTAAATACTTTAAGTACTTTGATTTGGAGGGAGTGGTCAGGAAAAGGAAAGTTACAGAATTTGTAAGGGCAAATAAGATAAAAAATAAGCAACCATTTTATTAACAACTTCTAGAAGTCATTTTTAAAAACTCAAATTAATAGATAGTTACAGGAAATCCATTATGGGTTAATATTTTAACACACATCCTTGCCTCTCAGTAAAATATGGGTAACTGTAACATTATGCATGGTAAAGCAACTACAAGCACTACCAAATGCAAAATTGCATGAAGATCATCATATTCTGGAGAACTGACTTTTGTGGATAAGACTGGATTCCATGACATCAAATTCTAGTCATTTTTTAAAATTTGAACTCAACTTGAAAATCCTAGCAGGAAGTGTCTTTCTGTAGCTGCAAACACTTGGTTGAGTGCTGGCAGGTAAGGAAATGAGCAATTTCAAGCTTCCAATAAAATCGATCTGTCTTCTGGTGTAACTTGATTTGGCTCAAAGTTGCACCATTTTTATGGGGGAAGGACTTCAGTCTTGCCCAGCACCGGCTGGCTCCATATTCATCAACATCTTGCCATACCCTTCAAACTGCAGATGTCTGCCCCCCATTTTAGAGAAAGGAAGCTAAGGATCTAAAACAAAATCACAGAGCTAGAAATACAGCTATGCTGTAAGATTTGAAAATGAAACCCCAGTTTTTTCTGAGATCTGATATTAACCAACTTGACACAAAAACATATTGACTTGTTTACTAGGTGTACTCATTGATTTGTTTATTAGATGTCTTGGAGAAATATAGACTTTGTGACATTTCAATTTACACATAGTTTTATCAGTTGGTAGATATGTCTCTGCTTTCTCTCCCCATTAAAAAGGAAAGGAAAAGAAAAATGTTTGACTTACCACTTTCCTTGCTATGGCAAATGCCTAAGAATTCATCAAAGGCATGAAGCACTGTACTCTGAGCTGCACTCCCTCCAGAGTATTTCAGGGGTTCTTTGGAGACTCCTTCATATATCAGCCCCATAGGCATTGCTGGATTATCTTTCCATCTAAGCAAAAGTCAGACAGAAGTAGAGGGTGCTAGGTATTAGGATATTTTCTGATAGGAAAACAGAGTTGAACAGGAACATGAGCATGATTTTGGTAGTAATTTTAGGACAAAGGACTAAATATTTTTTGTACGATGTGCATACACACCATCTTGATGTCCACTTCATGACTGCCTATGTAATGCAGTACTCCTCTACGTCATTTAAACAATTCCTCCAGAGAAGGAAATGTTATTTGGAGAGGAATCATTGCCAGCGGTCTCATGGAATATTCACTGGAGAAATTTGGTTATAAAGATGGTATCAGTGCTGATCAACAGGAACAATTTAGGGGCTCTGCAATATTCTTCTTTACTTCCTCTGCTGATTTCAACTTAGATGACCTGATGCCTACAGCTCCACCAGGATAGCTTCATATACACGCATGCACACTCTCACACACACGTGCATACACAGTCACACATCCGTGGCTCTCCCTGACTGTAATAGCCACCACATTAAGCCTTATCCATTCCAAATACTTGGCTATGTGGGGATGGTTATCAAATTCCCTGTTGATAGTAGGTATTAACAATAAGGGCAGATAATAAGTGTAACAACAAAGAGAACACATTTACAATCCCTCAGGTTGACAGAGGTCAAGTCAGAGTCATGTAGAAAGACTAGAATTGTGACTCTTGGTTATGTTCAGATTAAGTGACCTCTTCCCTCTCCTCTCTTCTTTCCCCTCTCCTCCCCTCCTCTTCTCTTTCCTTCTTCTCCCCTTCCCTCCCCTTTCCTCCTCTCCTCTCCCATGTGGTCTGTGCCCCCCCTTCCCTTCTCCTCTCCTCGCCCCTCCATACCTCTCTCCTTCCTTCTTCTCCTCCCTCCTCTCCCCTCCTTCTACCCTTTTTCCCTCCTCTCTCCTGTCTTTCTGATTCTCTCCTTCCATCCTTTTGTCTCAGTTTCCCTATTCCTCCTTGTATTTACTTTATTCTTTACTCTGACTTTTTATAGTCTGGAACAAACGTGTGTATGGGGAACTCTATAATATGATGATATCATTGACAAGAACTTGTTACCTTTGTACTTACCATGCTTTATAGTTTACATAGCTCCTTCATATTTATTTTGCATTTGACCTCTTGTGAGTAGATCAGGGCAGGTCTTTTTAACCCCATTTTACAGGTAAAGAAATGAAGATTCAATTCAGTTAAGCATCTCAGGTCACATAGCTAGAGAATGGGGAAACCAGAACCTGAACCCCAAACCTATCATTCTCTGATTTCATTTTACCAAGAACCTCATAGGTGAATTTCTACCATTAAAAAGGAGAAGAGTCTTTTCTTCTTATTGCTAGGAAGAAGCTACTTTTTCTATTGCACTGTTTAAATAAGGCTCACATTGATGTTACACCTTCTTCTTGCAATTCTAAAGTCAGTTTGCTCAAGAAAAGAAAAACACACCTCCACACACACATACAAAAGCAGTAGACAGACTGCTCTGCTTGCTATGCGTGACCTTTTTCAAATACTTTCCTGAGGTAGGAAATGCTATAATCAACTGGGTTGCTTCCTTTTTCAGCTGTTTTTGGTTGGCTGTTTTATGGTTTCACTGGTTAAACTGCAGAGTAGCATTTGCAGTTAGAACAATATCGCTTTGGAAAGAAATGAGGACAGAAAACAGAGCTGAGGAAACTAAGGGGAAGAGCAAAGACAATATTCCAGTTGTTAGATCACAGCAGGTGAATTAGGTAGCTGTTAGGAGAGAGAGATCTATTTCAGGCAGATGTGGAGTTTAATCTCAGCTTTGCCATTTACTGGTCTTTAGATTAGTTAATCAACCTCTCTGAGCATCAGTTTTCATCATCCATAAAATGAGAGTAATATTAGTAAGGGTTGTTGTGAGAAGTAATTAAATTACTACCTTCTCCATGCCTGGAATATATTAAAACTGCAAAATATTAGCTATTTTGTCATATTGTTCAGATTGAGTTACAATCCCAGCCCCGCCTCTCATATTTTTTAACTTGGTGCAAACCAAGTTTCTCCACTTTGTACCTATCTCATAGAGTGGCTGAGAGAATTAAATGGGCTCAAGAGAGGTTTTGTGACTTGTCAAAGGTCAGGACACTGGTCTAATAAAAATTGCTAAACAAAATATTGTGGAGAAGAAGTATTGAAGTCATGATTGCCTGGACAAAATACACATAGATAGTCTTGTCAGATTTTTCTTTTTAATTTGCTTGATGATCTTACCTAGTTATCTCAGTCTCTTTCATAAGTTCCTTCCATCTTGAGGACTTCTAAATGTTGGATGCTTCCAGAGGTCAACTTTGGCCTTCCCTAACTACCCTCACTCCCTAAGTGATCATATCCTGTTTCATAGATTTTTTTTAAAAGCTATATTCGGACTACCCCTAAGTTTATACCTATTTTACTGAGTTTCTGTCTAGTCAATTCTACTCATTGTTGTTGTTGTTGTTACATGCCATCAAGTCGGCCCCGACTCATAGCAACCCCTCCTTGGGTTTCCGAGGCAGTATCACTACGGAAGTAGATTGCCCAACCTTCCTTCCAAGGAGTGGCTGGTGGGTTTGAACCGCCAGCCTTCTGGTTAGCAGTCAAGTGCTTTAGCCACTATGCTATAGTGATCCTATATGTACAGAGTAGGACTTCTCCGCTGAGATTTTCAAGGCTGTAACCTTTCAAAAGTAGATCATCAGGGTTTTCTTCCGAGACGCCTCTCCAAAAACCAAACCAAATGCACTGCCATCAGCTGGATCCTACTCATAGCAATCCCTCCTTGAGTTTCTGAGGCAGTATCTCTACGGAAGTAAATGGCCCAACCTTCCTTCCCAGGAGTGGCTGGTGGGTTTGAACTGCCAGCCTTCTGGTTAGCAGTCAAATGCCTTAGACAATACACCACCAGAGTTCCTGAGATGCCTCAGGGTGGGTTCAAATCAACAACCAGTAATCAAGCACTTAACCATTTGTATCACTCAAGGACTCCTGGACCTTTCCGCTATACTCCAGAATCATACATCCAGCTGCCTATTTAATAGTCATTCCTACAAAGCAACATATAAGGCTTAATGTGATAGCTATTAGAGTTATCAATGTTCAGAGAGAGGCAAGGAAGTGTGTGTGTGAGTATGTGTGGATGTCTGTGTGAGTGTGTATGCATGTCTGTGAGGCTCTCCTTGAGGAGTTGCAGGCATTAGGTCAGCAGAGTTGAAATTTGCAGAGGAAGTAAAGAAGAATGTTGGGATCATCTTTGACTGATCTTATTAGTTTTCATTCCACATCTAATCCAATAGTAAATCTTGTCAACCTTTCCTTCAAAATATATCCCAAATCTGACCATTTCTCAACACCTTCACTCTTCCCACTCTACTCCAAGCCATCACTCTGGATTGTTACAAATTTTTGAATACTTTTCCTACCTCCAACCTTTCTCTTAAACTGCCCTACCCCCCAAAAAAACCTCACTGCCGTCGAGTCCGATATGATTCATAGAGACCCTTCCTTGGGTTTCCAAGGCAGTATCTCTACAGAAGTAGATTGCCCAATCTTCCTTCTGAGGAGTGCTGGTGGGTATGAACCACCAGCCTTCTGGTTAGCAGTCGAATGCTTTAGGCACAATGCCACCAGACCTTGCTCTCAAATAATCTATTTTTCACCTAGCAAGTAGTGTTGATTTGGAACTTAAGTTGGATCATGTCGTACCTCTTCTCCAAACATGTCAACATTGTTCTTCTCATTTAGAAAAGAAGCCAAGGAATTCTACATGATCTAGGCCCCTGCTATTGCTCTAGACTAATTTTGTATCACTCACCTCATGCCAGTCCTGCTGGTCTTTGCATTATGCATCTCTCCCACCATAGCAAACTTGCTCCTGCTGAGAGTTGCAGCAATCACTGTTCCTTTTGCTTGGAAAAGATATTTGGGTGTCTCACTCTCTGACTTCCTTAGGTATCTGCTCAAAACTTACCTCACTGGCATGTATTCTTGGATCACAATAAATAAATAAGAAACTTCTGCAACTATCCCTAACATTTTGTAATACCCTGTATTCTATTTTTACATTTCCCTATATTACTTATCGGTACACCATATACTGTATAATATTTTTTATTATTATGTTAACTTGCTCATTTATTCATTATCTCTCATCATTAAGATGTAAGCTCCATAAGGACAGAGTTGTTTAGTTTCACTGTCCTGTTCTCAGCACCTAAAACTGAGCATATCACTAAATATATGATGAATGAATGAATAAATGACATTCTAGAAGTCTACGTTATACATCCATAATATGTAGATCCGAGTGTCATTTCTTGTAAGATCTGGCCAGCTGAAACAAAACAGCAGATGTCTCAAAATAGCCTAAGCAACATCAATCAATATCAGGTCAGTTCCCCAACCTGAAGAGGATATTTTCAAGGCACATAGTAGCTACTGGAGAGACCACGAGGTTGAAAGTACAAAAAGACCAAAGAAGGGTATCTATTTTCAAAACCTGTGTTCTCCAGATTTGTATGAACAAATCTATCCTAGGGGAATTGCCACCGGAATGCTCCCTTGAAGTGAGAATGACCAGACTTCGTCTCTGATATTTTGGTCATGTTTTCAGAATAGACCCGTCCCTGGAGAAGGATATTATGATTGGTAAAGTGGAGGGTCAGTGGAAAAGGGGAAGACCCTCAACAAAATGAATTGACACAGTGACTGCAAAGATGGGCTCAAGCTTAGCAATGATTGTGGGGCGGCCCAGGACCGGGCAGTGTTTCGTTCTGTTACAATGTGAGTCAGAGTCAACTTGATAGCATCTAAAAACAACATATTCTCCAGTCATGATAAGACTAGTTGGAGGAAGGAAAAGAACGTTTCTCTGAGCCACCTATGTGTAGATTATTCCCATGAACTCTCAGGCCTAGGTCACTGTTTGTGAAAGAAAGAAACTATTCCCCTTTCAAATATTTATAGGCAAGTTTATTTTTAGCTTTTTGCATAGCATGT